CAAGAGTGGTCCAGTGTCTTGCTTATCGTGCTACTAGTTGTCGGACAAATATCTTTCACGTGTGTCCTAAGAAAATAATACACTGATAGAAATACATTACAAAAAATAAAACTTAAATTCATGAACAACCGGAGCATTCAAACTTATTTGTTGAATTACAAAAGATTATGCATTGTCTTAATATATAATATCAAATAACAAAAAATTGTTAGATATTTTGAAGTGTAGAATGAGTTACATTTTGATATTATTAAGGTTCAAACGTATAGATTCATCTTGGAAATCTAAAAGCTTATAAAGAAGCAATCCTTGGCAATGATTTTTGAGGTTCCTCATCATAGAAATTAAGATCATTATAATTATTTGAAAAAGTCAATGTACAATAAAAGAAAAATTGGATAGTGCTTTAAAATTACAGGAAAAACAATATATATTTTCATAAACAATCAAAGAAAACAACCAAATAAAATGAACATACTTTAAGTAGAAATCTTCAACTTGTCTCTATTATTTCTCCTAATGAGGAGTCAAGAAGGGGTTGATTATTCCGTTTAGAATAAGTTGGTTAGTGAGAAAAATTTAAGAGAACAAATAAGATTAATCATTATGTTGTTAAATTGGTAACATAACAAAATGAAAAGATTTTTAATTTATTGTTATTTCATTAGTAACCAATAATTGCAATAACTGAAGTAACATTCAATGTTGAAATTAAAATACAACTTAAATTTTACTATATACATATATCTCAGTTTATATGATTATTTTGGTATATATAAATTTCAACATATTTTCTCAATTTTAATAATATATAATATGATGATTGGTAATTAGAAATTGTGGCAACTTAGTTTCTTGCTTAAGTGAGAAACTGACAATATATTGTGAAAACTTAGTTTCTTGATTAAGTAAATCTTTAACTTTGGAATTGTTGTTTCCTGGTCGTTGTTTATAGATGGTCTTCAACACGGTATTTAATTCTTAATTTATTGTTCTTGGAATATGTGCCTATTCAAGATTTATCACTATAACTTTTCTCTCTTGATTGATCACCCATTGCAAGCTAATATTCTTTATAACTGTTTGCCTTTTGTTTGTGAGGTCGTTCGTGTATGTTGCAGGTTAGTGTTTACCTCATAAGTCAGTTCATGTAACTTTTCGTGTCGAACAATATCATGGATATATGAGCTCCGTTATACTATGTGATTTACCGTGGGAGTGCAACAGGTAATTTAACAACAGGTAAATCTTCTATTGGAAGTTGTTTTCTCAGGAAGGTATATATATTGTGTACGTTCTGAAATTGTAACATTTTTATTATTCTTCAGTTGAAGTGGTTATTGAAGATGTTTCTTTCTTTTCTTTCTTCCACCGGGAAGCACATAGTTTTTTCAAACAATAATTAATGGAGATTAGAAAATGTTATGATACTATATGTCAGGGTACTCTAAGCATGCAATATCTGTGTTGTCAATTAAATGGGGGGCTATACTCTATGCAGTGTCTTTACGGTTGTTTATTCTAGAAATTAAAAGGTTTGTGTTTCATGAGCAGAAGGAGGTGAGATCTCATAATCACATGATACTTAGCATTTTTTATTGAGCATGTTTCTTATTATGTCCTTTTAGTCTCTTTTTCTAATGCATTAAAATTTTCTAATCTAATTTCAAAATAATTTTTTTTTGGTTGTCCGCTGGGATTGAACTAAATGTGGGAGATAAATGTACCATTGTTGGTGTGTCTTTGTCAAGATTTACTGTAGAAGATCCTTAGGGCTCTAAAAGAGGTAAACCACACTCTACACATTTTTGAATTGTGCTCTGCTTTACTTCACACATTTCTGAATTGTTCTTGACTGGTGGAATTTCATAATATTTGATGTGGTAGCTTTACTTTTTTAAGCTTCATGGGGTTGTTCATGGTTATGGTAAAAAAAAACCATACTGAACTGTAATTCAAGTCAAACCATTAAAAAAATTAATATCTCGTTTGGTTTGGTCAGGTTTGGTTTTAATTTTTGAAAACAGATACCATTTGGTTTGATTTTGGTTTTACTAAAAACAACCACAAAAATAACCAAGCAGAACCGATAAATTTGATATATAAATTTTATAATTATTTATATTATTCATAAACAAAATATAAATATTTTGTTAAATTATAAGTAGCTAAAATCTTTAACTTCACCCTTCCCTCGAGTCCAACACTCAAGTCCAACTATAACAATCCTAAGTCCAAATCTATCAAAATTCATTTTATTCTTTAACGACCCTGCTAACTGGTAAGTTTGGATTGCTTAATTAAATCGATTATATTTTTTTGGTGGATTGCTCATGTACTAGGTGTTTATATCTATCAAGATAAGTATGTCCTGAAAAACATTATTACTTTCAAATCGAATAAACCAAAAAATTTGAATCAAACCGACAGTAATATGAGACGAAGATGAGTTACATATTAATATCATCATGTATTACTAAAATGGAATAAATTTCTTGTCACAATTTAAGATTTTGTTTGTAATTTTTGTGTTTATTACTCATTACATGCATGTTAGGAAAAATTTAAAAATTACATGGGACACTTATCCAGAATCTCGTTTATATAAAATAAACTAAGCAATTTTTTATTTAAGGCAAAACAAACTAAAGTTATTTTACTGAAACTAACTAGAGAAAATAAAAATTGAATATTACAAAATACATAAACACAATGGCTCAATATAATATCAAATCAACTGATGACCTCCCCTAATTTAAAACTTCTCGAGAAAAGCATCATTCCATCTGTGATAAAAAAGAGAAATAAAAAACCTTTTATTTGGAAAATATCTTGGAATTTATTGTAATTATAATTTAGAAATAAAGACTTGGACTTCTTCATAGCTACTCGAGAAAACATATATTCTTTGAAGTTCTATGATTTCAAAATAAAAGCATTAGAACTTGCATATTTACCACTTCATCACACCCATTTTCTTATTTCCTGAAGTGTAAATCTATGTTAATTTTTTGATACTACTACAACAACTACTACTATTATACGCCTTAGTTTCAGATGATTGTCACATTCTATTTGGAAGTAGTAGAATATCGTCTTCAAAAACCCTTTCCGAATCACGTTGGGGAAGAACTACTCGTGCACTTTATAGCAGTAACTTGGTTGTAATGTCCCATTTCTTGTGAATTGTTTGTAATTTTTTAATTTTCGTTTTGCCCTTCCCTTAGCATTTTCATGCATAATTTGTGTTTCATAATGGCTAGTGTTGTCCCTGATGTGATCGGGTGTGTTTTTGATGATCTGGCCTCTAATTGTTGAGAATCCATGATAAGGTTTACCTTGTTAAATAATTTTTGTTTCATGTGTCGGATGAGAATTTCTTCAGTTCCATTTCACCCCAAACGCCGAGGTTGATCTAGTGAAGTGGTTGGTAAGGTTTTTGAAGTCTTAGGATGAGTTTTGGTCGTTTGGGTAAGAAGTCACGTTTTAAACCTTAAGAGTGATCCAAAGGGTATTTCTGTTGTTTGACATATTTTCAGAATTTCAACGATTCCATTTAGAGAAGAATGTTAAAATTTTAGTGGGGTAGCACGTCCAATTTATTTTTATCAGACTCCAAACGATTTTCGAGCATCCATTATGGGGTAGTTTTCCTTGTTTTGAGTTTTTGGCTTTCAATTTCTTGTGCATGTCATTTTGACCTTTGCGGTCGCGTCCCTAAGGCTTGCGATGAACCTTTCTCTCCCTTACGCTTTATGATCACGATGTAATCTTTCGTTTCATTCGCGATCACGAGAATAGTGGCTTGTAATCGCGATTACCAATTTCACCTAGACAAAACCTTATTTAGGATTCTTCCCATTTTCACTCGATATGATCTTAGTAGAGACGATTATTCAAAGTTTTTCTTGGTGAAATTCGTGGGGTTAAGTTCATCTACCAACCCCTTATCATTTTCTTTAATTTTTATCATCCAAAACATATTTGTATTCTTGATTTCAATGTGGGAATCGGGGATTTTACACCAATGTTAGAAAGCCGTAATTTTTTTTTAATTTGGAGCTCGTTGTTTGATCGATTTAATTGGAATTTTCAACCATGAATCCATCTTGACTTGTAGGACTTGATTTTCAACTAAAAATATGATCTTATGCTTTCAATTTTCGAAGTGATTTTTGGACTAATTTACTCCCGTTCCTAATCCGATTAATATTGGTATATTTTATACTTCTCTTGATGAATTATATCCATTCTTGATTGGCGATTTTTTGGTGATCGTGTGGTTGAGGAAATGCTTTGACAGATTTGTTCGAGTGAAGTTTTGCCCTTTAAGGTACGGTTGACTATCCCTATTTTAGAGTGGGAGGAGTAATTAAACTTCCTTAAGAACTTAACTTTTAAATGAGTAGTAGTATGAGTCTTACAAGTTTGTAAATACATAACTCCTTAATTAGTTCGTACGATAGCTATTTGTGAAGCTTAGCCTTATAAGGGCTTGTGTGATGCATTTGTTTGTTGCTGAAAATTGTGATAGTTGAGTAATTGCCCGAGCGAGGGGTTGTGTGGTGTATTTTTTCTATTTGACATTGAGATGTCCTAGTCAGGGGCTTGAGTTAATTTTTAAAAACTTTAAACTGGAATGCTTTCTATGTGGCAAACAATGATTTCAAATGGATCTCTCCATTATCCCTATCATTTGAGAACACATTTCATGACTTACAGAGTTAGGGAGCTTAATACTACTTAAAATCCTTGATGAATCGATTATGCCTTGTGTTGTATGTGTTGTGATGCATTCATCCTCATATAGCATATCATTGTTCCTGAAACTAAATCCTCATATAGCATATCATTGTTCCTGGAACTAAAAGAATGTGGAGAAGCACCATCATTTTGAGAAAGAAAATGTGATGCCTTACTTAGTTAGAGCTTACTTAGCTAATTGAGTGAACTTCAAAGCATATTCCTTCACACTCATATTTCGTTGTCGGAGGTTAATGAACTCAAACACTTTTTATTCTATCATTTCAAGATGAAAGAAACGATCAAGAAAAACACCCTTAAACTTCCCTCGATCAAGAGGACCCATATAAATCACTCTCTCGCTTTTCCATTGTTCATAACGCAATTGAGCAACACCCTTGAGTTGATAAGAGCCCAACTTTGCCTTCTCAATCGTAGTCCATCACATAGTACCTAATCTTGTACACCTCATCAATGAATTCTTTAGTATCCTCGTCCACCTTCGAACCAAGAATTTCAATGGATTCATCCTTGTGAAGTCCCTTATACTTTTGTCGTCGTACCCTTATTTGGGTTCCCGAGAGAATTAAATGGCTTTATATTAATTTGGGCCATCATCGCTTGAGACAACACTTGTAAAAGGACTCTTAATTCAACATGAGTTGCTTGCTTGGAAAAAAGGTTAATGAGAACTTCAGGAACCTCTAGCTCCACATTTTCATCCGCATTCCTTCTCATCTAAGGTGTTCGAGGGGCCATATATGGAAAAGGATCTAACTCGATTTCGGATAGATTCTTTATAGAGATAGACTCTATGCCACAAATTTTGAGTAATGAAAAAAAATGGATTTTACTAAATACTTTGTAGCTTCCTATTTATAATGTGGCGCACTTCACATTCATGAAGCATGTTGTGAGACTTCATAAGACCTTTTTCTAAACCCTGTTCTCCGAATTCAAAGTTTATCACGAGCCAAAGTATATGTTAGATGTGGTATGACATATAAGACACCAAAAGTCCCTACAGTAGCAATTTGGCATACATATACACAACATAATGTATAAAATAAGAAATCTCATAAGAATGTAAAGAGTTTGACTGAAAAGCGGAAGTACATCAAAATCTTGAAAACTCATCTATTGCATCAAAAGGGTGTTCAAATGTAACGTGTACACCATATACAAAGTTTGGAAACTGAAACATAATTAAAGCAATAAGAGTATCATGGTCTTCGAAACATGAGGACTCAAAAGCAACTCTTTATCGTCAATCAGATTAAATAGCCGCGAACGAAGGGAGAGAAATCATCAAGCCTTACATTAGTGAAATAATATAGACACAATTATGCATTGGTACATGGACTATTTTAAGTATAAGGGGGAATGCAATAAAAATATCTAACATGATAAAAAGAGGACATTAATAAAAACATGATAAGTATGACCAAGACAAATACAGTAAATCTTTAAAGATTAATCATAATCATGGACATGATCAATGCATATAAATATGATGAAAAAAATTCATAAAATCTTGAAAGTAACTTAGTTCATTTTGTGAAATATTTACTATTCACCAACATAGACCACGTGTGCTACAACATGAACTTCGGTGTCTTGCTCCCACACCAAAAAGCGATGAAATTGCTTTCCAATACGACTACTTGAAACTTATGGCTTAGTTATATCCACTAGCTATATAACTTAATACAACCTATGGGGGCACATAGTTATAGAAAATAAGATTGCTAGTAGAGACCCGACCTCTACTAATGGGAGAGACTCCATCTCAATATCCTCTCGGTGCTAAGTAAAAGTCCCAACAGAACAGTCATAAATCTTAGCATATAAGCATTTATGAAAAAACACAATTAAATTACTAATCAAAACTAAAAATATCATAGATTAGCTCCTTAAACCATGCATGAGGATACTTTTCACCATTCGTGATTTCTTAAGTATGTAAGAACACAACTCATGCATATGTGAGGAAACCTTTCACAATTTCATCGATGTTCATCTTAAATCAACCTGGATCATAATTTATTCCTTTTCATAATTCATGCATAAACGTATGAAAACTTCATTATTGATTCATAATTTTTCTTCAAATTCATGCAAATTAGGCTCATAGTAAAAATCATGATCAATGCATAAGTTTTTGTTATTCCAATTGGAAAATAGGTAATTGTGTCAAAGCAATCATAATAAGATCAAATTCAATAAATTGAATCAACATAAATAGAACCCATGATAATTAAAATGAAAACCTTAATCAATTTTGTTGGAATTGAATTAGAAAATTGATTAATCTTTAGGACTCAATAGGTAAATGGAAACTATTGATGAACTCCCTACATAAAATTATATTGAATACCTAGAATCAATGATGAAAAATGAGACTTGACCTTGAAGAAACCTAGCTTCTTCTTCCTTTATCTAGAGAGAAAATTTTAGAGAGGACCTTAGAGAAAATTTCGGAATTTAATTGAATGAGGGAGTTGGGAAAATTTCTAAGGGTGAAGGGTAGTTATAATACTTAATATTAGGGTCAAAACGGCGTAGTATAAGAATAAGGTTCATAGAAAAATAACCAAATACCCTTTGAAAATAACTGTGGGACAGTCCTACGGTTATGACCTACTATACATAAGATTTTCAATGGCTTGTCCTGATCAACCGTAGAATAAACTTTAGAAACTCAAATATTCAATCATTTCCCACAAAATAATTCTACGATCTGTCAAAATACTTACGGTTTTTAGACCCTCTCCGTAGAACTCAACTTTCACTCCAAAATTTCATTAGGTATAGAACTTTTCTACGGAATCTTCATACATTTATTTGAATAAACTATGACTCATCAAAATTATCCATAGACCTGAGGTCCTAACTCAAATTTTTAAATCATTCTTATGAGTCAATTCTACTACCCGTCAAATTTTATTTTGTTCGTCGTGTCAAGTCATAGGTCCAATCTTCAGGAACTTACTTTTTCAAACTCAACTCTCGACATACGACTTCCTTTCTACGGTACATAGGTTCGACTTTTAGAAACTTGATTAAGTAAAATTTCTGCATTTTCTTTACCTTTTAACTTCTGAGGTGTTATTAGGAACTTCTACGAAGCCCTCCTACGTACCATAGAACCATCGACAACCCATCAAACCCTTCTCCTAGACTAAGGTCTTAAGCCAATTACTCTTAATCATTTTATGGGTTAGTCCTATGAAGTGTCAAACTTCTTATGATTTATCTTGTTCGCTCGTAGGTCAAATATAAAAAACTTACAATATCCAAAACTAACCTTAGGTTCTATAATTCAACTTCTACGTCCCATAGAACCTCCTATACTCCATAGATGAGACTTGTTAATCATACAATGCTCAAAACTAATTTTATTCTTTCTAATCCAACTTTCTTAGTTCCAAGGTGTTACGGTTTTGTTTCATTCTCATTTACTTCGATTATTTCGCTTCACTATATCCTATACTCACAAAAATAATACACTTATGTCATTTGATCTGCATCTTAAAATTACAAGTACTCAGGATCATTAACAGATACTTTTTTCTAGATTACTTTGCATTCCTTGGTCGCTTTTGGTGAGCCCCTCCCGGCATTTTAGGGACCCCATTTTTTTGATCTTTGTGTTTAATAGTTTTGAGCTGTCGCGGATATTTTCTCTACAGCCATGTTGAACTATAGAGGCTTCATAGATAGAGACTCTTGAGGGTCTTTCAATATTTCCTTTAAACTATAATTTCTTTGGTAGTATCTAATTTGAGTAATTTTTAGACAATGATTTGCTTCCGTTTTAAAGCTTATATCTACTTGGGTCAGCCTTTTGCTATGGGTGTCGGCTATGTCTAGGGTATAGGTTCGGAGTGTGACACTAAAATTTGAACATCAATATTTGCATTTGTCTATGAAGTTTGAAAAAAAACCGTAGTCAGTATTTTATTTTGTGATATAAGAAGTGTTTTGTATCATTTGTGGTTTATTTCTTATGGTGACATCTCTTTATAGAAATGTTCTCCTTACTTGAGGTTGATATAAAATTAGAAGTGTCAGGAGTACATGTGATTTGTATTTATTTTCACATGGTTGGTAAAAAAGATGTTTCTCTTTTCAATTAATAGTGTATGATACTTTCTGAATTGGTGCATCAATGACAATAAATAAAAAACATATTTATTGTATATATATAAATATAATAAAGAGGATTGATATCTATAATTGTGAATATTTTAATATTTTTCATTCACATGAGAGTAAAGATAGTTATGTTTTTGCTGGTAAATTTGCAGTTCAGGATTCTTGCATCTTTTATTTATTTGAGTTGGCACTTTTGAAGAAAATTTTGACAGGTGATCATCAATGAGTGTAAAGATGTCCAAATTGTTGTGATGTAGTATAATATTGGATATCGAATGTTAATTTTATATAATCTTATAAAATTTTGTTGAAAAGTTTATTTAATTAGTTTTTGAGATTTTTCTCATCACTACTCAACTATTTGATTTGTTTAAACTTAAGGCAATTAATTCCTTGTTCTAAAATATATATTCCTTTGTTTAATAATTTTTAATTTATGGGATAGCATCTTTTCCCTATATCAACACTGAACTTTTTTTTAAAACTATTTTCTGAACTTATCTTTTTTCCTTTTCAAAATAATAACTTATAAATAATTCAAAAATGATAGGCCGTTAGTTATAAATTCAAAAAAAATTAAATTCTTGAAGGTAGATATTATGCAGGTGCAAGAAAAAATGTAGAAATATATTTTTTTTCTTCTGAAAGAAATATATTTATGGATGAGATAATATATAGTTTTGACCGTGAGAATTCATAAAAGTTTAGAAGTACATATATGGAATATTGATTATTCAAATCATAGATTAGACTGTGGATATATACAAATTTGTTGTAAGTGATCACATTAATACCAAAGATCAAGAATCCCTCGCCTGTTAAGGAATTTCAGCCAATTTCTTGTTGCAATTGTATAAAGTAATATCAAAGATTCTAACCACAAGGATGCAGGAAGTAATGGACACCATCATAGACAATTCCCAAAGTGCTTTCGTTCCAGGAAGGCTGATTATGGATAATAGAGTAATAATTCATGAACTAGTGAAGGCGTATGGAAGAAAAGGTACATCACCGCGATGCATGATAAAAGTGGATATTCAAAAAGCTTATGATTCAGTTGAATGGAGCTATATCTAGTAAGTAATGCAACTTCTTGGATTCCCTCAAATCTTCCTGAAATGGATAATGAGTTGTATCACATCAGTGAGTTATACAGTAATGATTAATGGAGTGGCCACAAAGCCATTTCAAGCAAAGAAAGGACTAAGGTAGTGGCCCTCTTTCCCCTTTTCTATTCGTTATGGCTATGGACTATCTTAGTAGATCATTACAAACCCTAACAGGTGTGGAAAGATATAAGTTTCATCCACGATGTTCAAAGCTCAATGTGACACAACTATGTTTTGCAGATGATTTATTACTATTCTGTGACGGACATGTGCAATCTGTAAGGGCTATGCAGGCCAAGTTTAAACAATTCTCTTTAGCTTCCGGACTATATGCTAACAAGAGCAAAAGTGCAGTATACATGGGGAAAGTAAAACAATGTGTCCAGGAGGCAATATTGCAGAAATTGGGATTCATTAAAGGGGAATTACCTTTTAGATACTTAGGAGTCCCACTAAGTTTTAAAAGACTATTTGTCTCCCAATGTCAGCCTTTGATTGATAGGATGCTAAATTGTATTAAATCTTAGACTACAAGATTTTTGTCATATGCTGAAAGGACACAACTGATAAAAGTGTTTTGTTTTCAATTAAAATATTTTGGGCACTAGTGTTCATTATACCAAAGAAGATCGTCAAGGCTATAGAGGCTATTTGTAGGAAATTATTGTGGTCTGGCAATGCAAATGTAACGATCCGAAAAAAAATAAAATAAAATAATACGTACTTAAGGTAATTTAATTATTAATTAAAAATATGAAATTTTAAGGGCATAATGGTTCTTTCAAGTATTGATAAAATAAATCAGATTTATATTAATCTAATTTAAATCCTATTTGACTAAGACTTGAATTTAGTCTCCTAATTCTAATAACACTCTATCTATCTATCTATCTATCTCACGTTCTCTATATCTCCATCTCACGTTGGTTTTTGCCAAAAATAATTTCAAGAACTGAAAATACATCAAGAGTTAATCACACTTGAAAAACTCACAAGAATTTTTTTAGTAAAAGAAAAAGTAATCAAAACGTCAAGGCTAAGAGAGGTTCGTCGAGTGAGGTGTACATTGAAGTAAATTTGGAGTGGTTTGGAGGAGTTTCCGGGCAGCAACATCAACATTCGAACATCAATTAAGGTATGGGTTCTCTTCTCATTTGGTCCCTTTCACAAGAGAACCCTTAAGGTTCAGAATATTCATTACAAAAACTAGGATTGTTCCCCGTTGCCTGTATCTGTCACTAGCTCTCATTAAATAATAGGTTGGTTATGTTTGCTGGTAGAAAAATAGAGATGAAACGTGTTTTCATGATGATTTTGTGTTTATATGTATGTTTGGAATAATGTGAATTATGTTGATGTTTCTGAATATGTAACTATGTGTGTATGTGTTTGTTGTCGTGGCTATTGTTCATGGTCTAGGACTTGAAATGACATGATAGTTCTTTATATTTCATGTACACATGTTGATGTAAATGTGATGTTCATATGAGATGAAATGTGGCTGATTTGAGGGATAATGTCTTGGCTAAAAGAATACATGAAGAAGCACCTAAAACGTTCTAAGTGCACTATCGAATTCCCCTAACAGCTAAGGTGTAACTTAATGAAAGGATGCTGAAAAAAATTAAAAGAAAATTTGTAGCTTCTATTGATGAATTTCAGTCAGCAAATAGGGTCCAAAATGTTGAAAAATAAAATAAAACAAGTGAGGTCATGGAGGATTGAACCCGTGACCTAACCATGTTAAAAACCATGAAAATAAAGAAGTAACAAAAAATGTGGGGAGTGGGGATTGAAACCACAACCTCTTGAATGGATGAGAGAGTTAGGAGGAAAATAAAGGAGAAAATAAAATATGGAGAGTGGGGATTGAACCCACAACTTCTCGAATGGATGAGAGAGTTAAGAGGAAAATAAAAGAGAAAAAAAATGTGGAGAGTGGGGTGAACCCACAACCTCTTGAATGGATGAGAGAGTTAGGAGAAAAATAAATGAGGAAATAAAATGTGGAGAGTGGGGATTGAACTCACAGCCTCTTGAATGGATGAGAGAGTGCGGAGACAAATAAAAGAGAAATAAATGTCGAGAGTGGGGATTGAAGCCACAACCTCTTGGATAGGTGAGAAAGTTAAGAAATAAATTAAAAGAAATAAAAATAATGAGTTTGTGGGGTATTGAACCGACAACCTCCTTGCCTTAAAACAAAAAAGGGGAGGAGAACAAGAAAGAAATATTATGGGGTTGATGGGAATCAAACTAGGGTCTCACAAATCTGAAAAAATGCAATTATCAAAGTTTAAAATAACATTTAGTGTTGATTAAGGGATTCGAAATCGGGTTCCCTTGCCCAATTCTGTA